TGTCTTTCTTGCCCTTGCCCCTCTTCCACATCCTTTCATTCTCAGGGACATTTTCTGCTCCTCTGCCCTTCCAGAGTCTTGTCTCAGAAAAAAAATGAATGATGTATTCAGTGGCCATTCCCCTCAGGGGTACTTGTGTTGAACCAAATATGGAAGACTTTACTCAAAAAAAGAATTAGTTTCTAGTTTCAGACTTACAAGGCTTGACAAAACAGATAAGGAGTATCCTTCAGGAAGAACCATAATAGTGGTGGTGTGTGTGTGTGGGGAGGGGATGCCCCCTCAGTCTCCTGAAAATTTTCCCCTAAGAGGTTGTGGGCACCCATGGACATGACTGAAGAGAGATCCTCGTTTTCTACAGGTCATGAGACAAATGGATAGAATATTCTTGCAAAGGCTTCAATGGCTCTGTAAACTGCTCACCCAGCAAGCCTGTGACCAATTCACTCTTTCAATCCACATGCCCAATGCTGTATAGACCAGCTGACATGCTCCCACTATGCGGCCACTTTTGGTACCTCCCCGAATGCCCCCCCACACATTTTTTGTCTTTCCCCTTCCTCCTCTCACACCACATCTCAGTGCACAGTCCAGTATCCTAGATGTAGAAGGTACCTATATTCAAGGAAAGATAACTGAAGGAAAGGTAGAAAGGTATGCTCAGAGCCAGCTTACCAAATCCTGGACTCGGTGAACTGGCGAAAAATATATGGCAAAAAAATATTCGGCAGAAAATACACGGGTCTCAACTTTAAGTGATTTTTGCCTCCAGAGGACAATTGATAATATCTGGACACCTTTTTTGTTACACTGAGGGGGGGGTGGGGGGAAGGTGCCACTGGCATCTAGTGGGTGGAGGCCGGGGTTACTGCTAAACATCTTGCAATGTTGCCTGTAGACAGGCTCCCGTAAGGAAAAATTAATTGGCCCAAAATGAACAGTGTAGAGGTCGAGGGACTGGTCTCGGTGAAGGTAGAGAGAGGTCTCCCATTTGGACGGCAGTGACTCCCAGCGCCTGGGCAGTGCCGGCAGAGGGGACCTGTTACTTATTCCTTGAATGACTGACTCCGGGGAGTCCTGGAAATGTTTGCACCTGTGTGTTCTCTCCAGCCCCCCCTCCCCCCCCACCTTGGTGATAGATTCAGGTCTGAGCCTGTTTGTGAGTGGTCACTTCTTGCATTCAGTAAATTGTTCAGCACCAACTATGCGCCCGGCACAGCTCTAGGCGGACGAGTAACAACACTTACAACAGCATTAGTTAACATTTATTGAAGCTTGGCAGACACTGTGCTTAGCGTTTTCTGTGAATTCTGTCATTTCCTATTGCACAGCAACCCCGCAAAGGAACTATTAACGCAATCCCCGTTTACAGAAGGAGAGATTGAGGTTTAGGAAGAACCAGTGGCTTGCCCAAGATTGCCCAGCTTGTAAGGGAATGGTGGACCTGGGTTGCAAAGTCATGAATTTGGATTCTAGGCTCCAAACTCCTGGCCGCTAAACTGCACAGAGGAAAGCAAGCAGCTGGCCCCGAAATAGGATCGGGGTCTGCGTGGGGAGCAGCCACGCTAAGTGGAGACTGCCAGGAAAATTTCATCCTAACTCAGTTTGATTTTAATTTCGTAATTTGACTTGCAAGCCCCAACTTGCAGCTCAAAACACTGTGGGCTCGAAGACTCTGTGTCCCTAGATGAGTAACTCCGCTTTCTGGTAGCTCCGGGCCGACCGTGCGCGCCTTGCCTTGGTCCCGAACCACGCAGCGCAGGGGCGGCCTGGGTCCCGCCGAGGCGGGGCGAAGCGGGTTGGAACCCGAGCGCGTGGCGGCTGGACGCGGAGAGCCTGTGCGCACCACCGCGGTCCGCGCTCCCCGGCGCTGCGCTCCTGCCGCCTTCGTGGTAACCGGCGGCGCGGCGGCCGCCCGGACGCTGCGTCTTCTCCAAAAGCTCTTCGGGAGCCCCCACCCGGAAGCGCAGAGGCTGCTGCCTTTCTAACAGCAGGACGGAGAGATAAAGCCTTGGACAGGCAAAGCTGGGAGGGAGAAAGCCACGCTCCCAGGAGACCTGGACCCGCTCGCACCGGCCCGCGGCCCCGGCTCTGCAGCTTCTGTGAGCAGCAGGGAAGAGGGACGTTGGCCTTGAAGCGTTCGGGATAGGGAGTCCGCCTGAGGTTGCGGGCGGCTGTGCAGCCTCTTCACATTCCTCCAACCTCCATTTCCATCTTTCTCTGGAGTCACCGCCCCATCCTCACCCCAGGGCCCGTCTTCCCAAACGCCTTTCTAATCCTGAGGTCTGTCGCTGAAAGCCGGGGAAAGCCTGTCCTGGGGCACAGACCACCCCCTCCTGTAATCCAGGGAAGGAGCCGGCTGAAAGCCAGCCCTTCGCATTCACCCTGGACCTGTTTCCTAAAGGCCTTTGCTCCCACGGGTGCCCCAACCCGCAGTCACAGGCAGACTAGTGGGTTGCTCGTAGCTAAAGGATGTGAAACTTCACTCACCCGAGGGTTCTTAGAGGAGCGTGTCAGCCAGAAAACTCAGAAAGCATCACAATAATTGATAATAAGATGTTAGCTGGATTCAGGTATGCCTCAAAGTGCGGTGGCTTCCTTTATATTCGTACAATGCCCCCTCCTGGGAGGCAGACCACTGGTCTTGGGTGAGACTGGAGTTCAGACTGAGGGAGACAGAGGCAGAACCAGGGAGGATGCAGAGAGGCAGGTCAGACCGACTGGTCTGTCTCCAGCACAGCCCGGGCATCTTGAAAGAACCAGGAACTCCCTAGCGTGGGAAGCCAGATGGCACTTGCCTTTATTCCAGGGAGCTGGGGAGAAAGCCTGGTACTCCGCTTGACTGAAGGAGAAGACCCCAGGTTTCAGACATGAACCCTGCCTGTGTTGAGCAGCCTCTGCTGGAGCCTCTTTCTCATGAAAAAGGCGAGTGTTTGCTTTGCCCGGACCCTGGAAGTGCCGCGCTCCCCAGGGTGTGTGTGCGGGTGGGTGGCAGGGAGGTGTCTGGCAGGAAAAGAAGTGGCCCAGTTTTCCAGGAGGCAGAAAAGGAGTCTTCTGAGTCTTGAGAACCCAGATCCTCTGTCTCCCAGGTCCGATTTCCTGAGCTGCGGAAATACTCCACTCTGGGGCTGTGCCCTCTCTGCCTGGACGGGAACCCCAGCCCCTCCTTCTTGCTCAAGAAACATGGAAACCCATATCTCCCCAAGGAGGGTTGGGGTGTGGATCCTAAGTCACAGTGGGCTGTGGGGGTGTAACAAGAATGGGTGAGAACATAGGAGCCGGAGGGCACCATCAGAACCGGGCCCCTCGCAGGGACTTTGGCGCCGATCGCTCGCTCGCTCTGGGTCCTCGGAATCTCGGCCGCACAGTCTGCTAGAGTTTGCCTCAAAGCAAAGCCAGGGGGCCATTCGGAGAGAAGGCCTCGCCATCCTGTTGGGCATTTGTTCCTAACAAATACGATAGATTAAAAAAAAAAAACAAAACCAACAATTGATAACGTTATCCGTCAGGGCGCAGCGAAGGACTGAGTTCTCCTGCTCTGGAGAGAGTCGGGAGAGAGTTGGTCCGCTGCCCTTGGGGATGGCGGTGGGGACCACCAGACAGTGCTGCTGGGGGGAGGGGGGTGTGTGGATCCAGGACCGGACGGGGCCCTGCAGGGGTCTGGGCTAGAGGCACTGCGCTGAGGCTTTCCTTCCTTCCTTCAGACCCCGCGGCGTGGGTGCACCTGGAGACTAGGGAGTGTAACGGGGCCACGGGGACCCAGCAGGCAGAGTCCTCGCGGGCTTAGGGCGCATAGAGGGACCGAGCAAGGGCGCGGGCATCCCATCCCCGCCCTGACTCAGCTGGAAGTCCCAACCCAGGTGGGCTCCTGTCCAGTCCAGAGTGAGGCCTGGGCTCCAGAGCCACCGTGCATTTCTAAGAAAAGAAAAGTTTATTTAAAATTTTGTACATAAATAAATAAATAAATATCTTCTGGTATTACAGAGACCGTGTGCACCGACAAGCTAGACCAGGGCGGGGCGGGGTCTGTGGTCCGGGGAAGAGAGGCTGGACAGAGGGGAGAGCCCGGGGGCCTGTGGAGGGGAATGCAGAGGATCTCTCCCCCCTCCCCCAAAGCGAGTGGGTTTCCCCCGACAGGGGGGCTGCGGAGCCGACAGCGAAGCCTTGATGAAGGGACAGGCGGGCTCACCGAACTTCGAGTAGGTCCCACGGGGAGGGAACGGAAGGGAAAAGCAAAACAATAACAAGAGTTCGTCAGCGTGTGTGTGTGTGTGTGTGTGTGTGTGTGTGTGTGTGTAGGGGGGAGGGTGACGGTAGCTAAATGACCGCAGTGAAGAAATGGATACGGAGAAAAAGAAGTAAAAAAAAAAAAGGAGGGTGGGGGTAGCGAGGGGACGTCGACGACGGAGACGTCCTGCTGGACCCAGGGTGGAAGGGCGCGGAGGAAGCGAGAGCCGGAGCCAGTCCAGACAGGCCGCGCTGCGAGGCGGAGAAGCCGCCGGCGCTCGCGGGCCCCACGGCCTGGCTCCCGCTTTGCGCGGCCGCCGGCCCTGGGGTGCGGACGCGAGCGTCAGGCGGGAGGGTGACGGTAGCTAAATGACCGCAGTGAAGATATGGATACGGAAAAAAGAAGTAAAAAAAAAAAAGGGGGGGTGGGGGTAGCGAGGGGACGTCGACGACGGAGACGTCCTGCTGGACCCAGGGTGGAAGGGCGCGGAGGAAGCGAGAGCCGGAGCCAGTCCAGACAGGCCGCGCTGCGAGGCGGAGAAGCCGCCGGCGCTCGCGGGCCCCACGGCCTGGCTCCCGCTTTGCGCGGCCGCCGGCCCTGGGGTGCGGACGCGAGCGTCAGGCCTCGGCCGAGCTCCCGGCGCTGCCCAGGGTCGGGGCCTCCGCAGCGCTCGCCGAGCCCGTGCGCGGCCGCCGCTCGACGGCTGGCGCCTGGAGACCGCGGCTCGGTCCCAGGGCCAGGGCCGGGGGCGGGCGGCCCGGGAAGCGCGCGCCTAGGGAGTGACCGTGAGGTCCCGGTCGTCTTTCCCCGAGGAGGACGGAGACATGGGCAACTCGTCGTCCTCGGAGCCCTTGGCCGAGGACAGCGACGCGCACTTGCAGCTCTGCGGTGCGCCCGCGCCCCCGCCGCCGCGGGGGCTGCTGCCTTTGCCCTCTTTCTTGTGCTTCACCCGGCGGTTCTGGAACCATATCTTCACCTGCTTCTCGGACAGACTGAGGTAGGTGGCGATCTCGATGCGGCGGAGGCGGGACAGGTACATGTTGGAGGCGAACTCCCGCTCCAGCTCCAGCAGCTGCGTGCTGGTGAACGCCGTGCGCATCCTCTTGCTGCTGGGCAGCTGGCTGGAGCTGCCGTCTGCAGGGGTGGGGTGCAGAGAGCGACGCGGTCAGACCCCTGCGCGGCGGCCCGACCCTCGGGTGGGCGGCTGGTAGAGTCCCGGGACTTCGGTCCGCCGCCCACCTCTTTGCCCCAAACGAGGTGTTAGCGCAGGCGCCTCCCTGCGTAGCGGCGGGACCCCGGTACTCCGCGTCACGCAGCCCCGGCACGACTTTCCGGGGCGCGCGGAGCCTTAGTCCCCCCCACCCCCACCCTGCGCGCCCCCTCTAAGACCTGCACCTTCTGCCCTCAGGTCCTGTCCCACCCTCCCAGGCACGCCACTCTGATTGTCCGCCCCCCCCCCAGCACGGTTCTCCTCGTCCCCACGCGCCCAGGGACCCTCATCTCGCACCCCGGCTCGCCAGCCGCCGTCGGGCCCCGTGCCCTGCGCCCCGCGCGGCGTTCCGGCTTACCCACGGAGATGCAGTGGAACTGCCTGGGGTCGGGAAGCGGGTAGGAGGTCTGGTAGAGCGCGGCGGCGGCGGCGGCGGCGGCGGCGGGGCCGTGGGCGACCCCGGGCGACACGGCCGAGGGCTGGCGGCCCAGGGGCGCGTGGCAGTACTGCGAGCCGAAGGGCGGGAAGGACGCCTTGAGCAGAGGCAGCGCGGGCGGCCCGGGGGGCCCGTGCAGCTGCGAGGCGGTGACGCAGAGCGGGCACACGCACAGCAGCCCGGCTTTGCGCGCGTGGCAGGCGCCGGGCGAGAGGCCGTGCAGAGCGTGCGGCGGGGGCACCGCGTAGGGGAAGAGCGGCGGCGGGCTGCCCTCCGGGGCCTTCTTGTCGCCCGCCTCGCGCAGCACCAGCGAGTCCACCAGGAAGGAGCGCGGCATGGCCCCGGCGCGCGGCCGCCCGCCGCCGGCCGGCTCCCCGCGCGCACGGACCTCGGGGCTCCGCGCCCTCGGCCGCGCAGCGCCGCGCGCTTCCCTGGTCGCGGAGGCCGAGCGCGCCGCCGCCGCCGAGCCGCCCGGGTGCTGGCCAGCGCTAGTGGTGCTGAAAGACGCCGGCGGCGCCGCTTAAATAGGACCATTGCCATGTGATGGGCTACGCCAGGAGCGCCGGGGCCTCTCAATAGGGTTTTTGTGCCTTTTCTCTTGGCATTCACTCTGCACGCTTCCTCATTATTTCACTTGTTAACTAAATGAACTGCATAATGTACTCTATTCTTGTCAACCCCACCCACGCCGTAACAGGCGCCCTCGCCCCCTCCTCTCCCTTTTGCGGGTTTATTTTCTCATTCTCCCGCGATTTAATATTCTTTTCTTTCTCTTTATTCCGTACTCCCCTTTGGCTCTGCATTGACGATCGGCAGGTTTCTCTTATTGATTTTGTACCCCCACTGCCTCACTTCCACAGATTCCCATGGGCGCACACCCCATCTCTCTGCGCACTCCGTCGCCATCCCCTTCCTTCTCTCTGTACCCCCGCCCCCCCAGATCATGCTCCCTCCACTCAGTTTGCTCAGCTCCGCGTTGTGCACCCCGCGGGTGTCCCCGCAGCCGGCCTCTGATTTCCACCTGTGGAATCCCTTCCCCTCTCCCTGAGTGGGAGGACCGGGCTCTGCAGCGGGGAGGCGCTGCCAGAGACAGCAGAAAGGGACTCAGTGCTCCTTATCCGCCACGACTCCCCAAGCTGTCTTTCTGTCTTAAGTTTCTCCCAGAGCCTTAACTTTGATGGTGCCCTTAACGCCCAGTCTTTGTTCGGTAGATGTTCGTCGGCCAGTCTTCCCTTTAAACGGCAGTGCTGTGGGTGTAAAGTGGAGAATAGCCTCTGAGAGTCACGGACAGAGACGGGGTGGGGGACGAAAGCCTGCACCCGAAGATCGACATCTCGCACGGCCAGGAGAGGCGAGTGCAGATGCCGTGCTGGGCACAGATCCCTCCGGTGCGCTCTGCGCTCGCCCACACCCCCGACAGACTCGCGGGCGCGCTGGGAAACCGTGGCTTTCCTGAAGGTCGCCCCACAGGAGCGGGCGAAGGGCAGGTGTATTCCCAGCGTCTGCTGCTTTTGCCCAACCCCCCCCCCCCGACCTCCCCTGTCCCCAAGGCTTCTCCTGCGTCGCTCTCTTCTTTCTGGGCACACAATGGTTAAACAACTTCAAACGCCTGGCTCTGTGTACACAGCCTCGGCCTTTTAAATAGTCCCCGGACTCAAAGCCGCTTCGCCAAGGAACTTTTTCCATACAATGGGAAATTAGCATAAATATTTCGAATTTACAGCCCCGGACTTTTCACCGAAGTCGTTTACTTTCGATTTTATTGGAACCAAATCGCCGCAGTCACCTGCTCAGAGCTCTGAATGGAATTGTGAGACATAAAGGGGGGAGCTTTTCGGGGGGGGGGCGGAATCAGTGCTCGGGAGTGCCCGGATTGAAGCATTTACATGGTTTTTCATCGTTGGTGACATCTTTACAATAACAATAGCAACAAATTATAACTGATTAAAAAGCATAGGGAATTTATCTGAGAGAAAACAGCGATTCCGTCACAAGGACAGGGGCGATGGAGACAAGAGCCTGGTGGAGCGCACTGTCCAGCGCGGGAGGAGTAGGGCTTGCGGCTTCCTTGGTTGTTCGGCATGGGGGGCGGGCAGGAGACCAGTGCCGACCCCACGGCCAGGGTCTGCTCTCCAAGGCTCCGCGCCCAAGGGTGGTGCTTGCAGACGAGCCGCCGTGCATCAGTGCAGTTAATGCCGGTTCTAATTTGCTCTCCGGGTAATTTGTGTCGGCTGGGACCGCTGAGAGTGAGCCGAGGGCCGGGAACAGGGCCGGAGAGGCACCCCCGCTCCCGGGCAGCGGCGGGCGGGAGAGGCGTGGGGTGCGGGCGGAGCTCTGCGCGGTGAGCCGGGGCGGCCACTGCACCCGGAGCCTGGAGCCCGCGCCCGGGGAGGAAGGGGTTAAGAGTCCCTGAATGCGAGCAAGGCCAAAGCTACTGGGAAAGAATATCTAGGGGGGAAAAATAACCAGTTTTTTTTTCCCCTCCAGCCTCTGGACCTTATTGAATGTCATTGAAGAAAGTTTTGAATGCCAGATAAAGAGAGGCGAATTAAAGTGTGTGACAGCGGGGGATAAGCAAACACAAAGAGAACTCTGTCACACTTTGGGGCAAAATCCGTGGGCTTTTTACCAAGTCTCTTCGCTATGATTGAATTAAGTAATAGGAAAACATTTTCTTTCAGTTTAGAGCCATTAGACAAAAACTTCAAAGCGAATAACACTTTTTAATGTGCGGCCCACAATGGATCGGGTTTTGTGCTGAAATGTTTAAATGGTTTGTTGTGCAACTCGGCGCGGGAGAGACCCGGGCCCAAGCAAAATAGCATCCCTGAGAGTGTTTTCGGGAGGCCTGGAAAGAACGCACACTTAATCCGCCATCGCTAAACCAGGCGGGCTGTGGCCGGAAAGGGGGCTCCTGCCCGGCGGTCCGGGGCCGCGGGGCGCGCCCCGGGGGTTGGGGGGTTTCAGGAAAGTACTGCGCTCACGGAGAAGGCCGGGCAGGAGCTGGGGGCACGCGGGCCTCGGGGACTCCGGGGCCGCCCCGCGAAGGGGGCGAGCTCGCGGGTGTCCGGTCCCTCTCAGCCCCGCGGCCTAGCCCGGCCGCCTCCGCCCGCCGCCCGGCTTCCGGCCGCCCTCGCACCCCGGGGGACCGATCCCGGGGACGCTCAGGCTGCGCGCTGCTTTCCAGTTCGAAGCGCCTTCCCGGGCTGGCTTCAGCCGGGCTTGAACTGTACTCACCCGGGCGAATGCCCCCTGGGCGGGGCGGGGCGGGAGGAGGCGGCGGGATTAGCCTGACAGCCCGAGAGAGGGGCCCCGGGGAGCCCCTCGGCCTGGTGGGCCCTGCTTTGCCCCCAAAGCTGGTTTTCAAGTGTCCATCAGGGACAGTTCAACATGGAATAATTTCTGTTGTCTCGCTCTTTTCTTCTCTTTCACACCGCCTCCTTTCCTGTCGGTGGAGAGAGCTCGCGATTTTTCTCCTGGAAATGGATCTCTGACATATTCGCAGCAAAATACGTCCCTTGAAAAACTGCAGAAAAGGGGAGGGGTTTTGGGGGGGTCCTTGTTCCTTCCCATCTTCAAATGTCACTTTTCCTTTCAGGGAGGTGAGCACTCCTACTAAAACATATCACTTCCTGCTCCCCACATTCCTTGTTTTGTAAATACTGTCTAACTAACTTTCTGTGTCTTTTACTCATTTGCTTTTCTGTCCCTGTCTTTCCTACTCCCACGCGGAGAGCTATGCCTCACTGAGGATCGGCAATATTCGTCTATCTGCAATATTCGTCTATCTTGTGCATGACTGTATCCTAACTCAGGGAAGTTCTTGGCATATAGTAGGTGCTCAGTATATATTTGCTGGGTAAATAAGCGAATCCTGAAGTATGACTCAGGAAGTGGCATGGATAGGAGGACTTTGTGGTTTACCGGCTTAATACACCAAGGCACTTACGGGTATGTTGTTTTTCTGGTTTGAGACAATGGAGTGGAAATTCTCATCCCAAAGAAAGGGACTTCTCCCGTGAGCAGGCCAGTTGTGACTCAGGCAACTCTCCCAGGGAAGAGAGCGGTCTGTTCACTCCAGCAAGGGGGCAGGAGAGTGCCTGGTCTGCCAGGGCATGGTGACTGTACCTGGGAGCCAGGACTGGAGGAGGGCGGAGCGGGAGGGATGCCTAGACATGGGTGTGAGTGGAAGTGGAGGCTAAGGCACGAAGGGCCCTGCAACAGGTTTGTGCTTGATTCTATTCAGATATATTTTTTTTAATGTTTATTTTTGAGAGAGAGAGAGCATAAGTAGGGAAGGGGCAGAGAGAGAGAGAGGGAGGGAGACAGAGCATTTGAAGCAGGCTGCAGGCTCTGAGCTGTCAACCCAGAACCCAACATGGGGCTCGAACTCGTGAACTGAGAGATCATGACCTAAGCCAAAGTTGGATGCTTAACTGACTGAGCCACCCAGGCGCCCCTATTCAGAGATTTTAAGCAGAGGAACTTAAGAAATATTACGGGAAGCAGTAGGAAGTCTTATAGATGGGGACAGAGAGAGGCCAGAGCAGGATCCAACAGAGAGCTGGCTTGCAAATGAACAATTTTATTGAATTATTGAATGAACAAAGGCAGGGAAGCAAGCAAAGAGATTAGTTCAAGTGATGGATAATGACCACCTGAAAGCTGGAGAGGAGACAGGAAGATCAGAAAAGAGAAATATTTGGGAGAATTTGAAGGCGAAAATTGGTGAGATCAATTAGGGGTGTGTGTGTGTGTGTGTGTGTGTGCGCGCGCGCGCGCACGCATGTGCACTGGAGGGGAAGGGCATGGAAGACAGGGCAACAAACACATGGATGACTGCTTGGCTGCTTGTTTGAGGGAATAAATGGTGGTGATACCAAACGTAGAGACAAGGAGCTTAAGAGCAGGACCCACTTTTGCTTGTGGAGGTACAACATTATGTCATATTTGGAAGTGTTGCATTTAAATTTGTTTTCAAAGTAAACTCTACCCTCAAGTGGGGCTTGAACACAGGACCCTGAGATCAGGAGTCACATGCTCTACCAACTGAAGCAGCCAAGCAACCCTGAGGTGTCGCATTTTAATCCTTAACCTCGGAGCATTCTGCTGATGTCCCATGAAGAAAATGTGATTCTAAAGTTGAGTAGAGAAATTAGAGATGGAGAGAGAGATTTGGAATTTAGGTATGCAAACATGGTAGCTTTCGTCTTAGGATGGAGGAGCATGGGGCTGGGGAGTGTAGAGAAAAACCAGGATTTTAGATATATTCCTGGAAACAACCATATTTAAAGAGGGAAGTGGAGGCTGAGCTCCTTGCAAGTCAGAGAAGCATTT